CGAGCACGTAGAGGATTTGGTTTGACCTCCAACTCGATTGCCATTGTGACACCCTGAGGCCATCCATGGAAGCACGGTAGAGGAAGGGCGTCAGATGAGGAGGGAGGGAGACATCAGAGGGGATAAGATCCCATCCAGGGAGAGAAACATCACGTAAGTTTGTTTCTCCACGAAAGAGACTAAGGGAAGTGCTCTACGGAGCATGTGAATGCTCGGAGAAGATGCTTGCTCGAGCTATCGGGTGACGATTTGTTTTCCTTGTTTATATATTTTACAACCAAAATCAGGTCTTAAAATTAGCATTCATAAAAGTGAATTGTTCTACATTAGAGAGGCCAATGAGATGACAGACGATTACCCTGACTTGTTTGAGTGTGCGCAAGGCCAATTCCGATTACTATTTGGTAATTCCAATTCATTATCAACGTCTCACTAATGTGGAGTGGAAACATGTAGAGGTGTCTTAGAGAAACGGTTGAGCAGTTGGAAAGACAAGTTCCTCTCTGTTGGAGGATAATTGGTCTTAATCAATTATGTTCTCATTAATATGGTTCTCTATATGCTTTATTTTTTTTCAACTCCCAAAAAAAGGTCTTGCGAAGGTTGAATTATTTTAGATCCAGATCCTTTTGGCAAGGAGACAATGAAAATAAAAGGTACTGCTTGGCCAAATGGAGTGTGGTTTGTAGGCCAAAAGACTAAGATGGCCTTACATTCACGACATGCGGGTCAGGAATGATGTCTTACTTACTGAGGATGGTGTTTGGCAAACCCTATTGCGCAATAAGTATCTAGCCCAGAAGTCTATGTCTCACGCCTATTGAAAACCCGGTGACTCGCACTTTTGAGATAGTCTAATGGCGGTAAAAAATATGTTTTCTGCTTTCGATCCTTTGCGATAAAAGACGGGTCAGAGATCCATTTCTGGAGGACAACTGGCTAGGCAATGCGAGCCTCCGACAACAATATTCAGCTTTGTATCACATTGTTCGCGATAAGAATGACACTCTTGCACATGTGCTCAATTCATCCTCGTCGGATATTTTTTCGGACGGGATTTGATTGGCCTCCGTATTATGTCATGGAAAAATCTTTTATCCTGATTAGATTAATCTAATACAAGGATGAAATGTGTTTCGCTGAAACCTCACTACATATGGGCCATTCACAGTCTACCATCGCTCACACGTTTAGAGGTCCCAGTAATAATAACAAGAAAAATTAAAAGTCGAAAATTACACTAAAGGTTAAAATCTCTGTGTAGTATCTTCGGAGGGGAGTTGTATTAACCAAAGATAGCATCATTGTTGCAATTGGCAAGGAAAGAAGAAGTGTAGCATTTGTACTCACGACTAGACAATCAAGCACCACTTTTTCCAGTTCAAGTTTGCGCGCCAGACATCCAAATAGCGTTCAATCTTTATCCATGCACAAGTGTTGCCAATTATTTTTATCACTCGTTGGACGGTACTTCAAATAGATTCGAATGCTAATAAGAGTGAGAGTGTATGCCTTATTATGGTCAATTTGCCTATGTAGAAATGATTTGGTTTTTAGTGACAAAAGCTCTTCTCTTTTGATATTATTTTTTCACATTTATGGTCTACGCTACACCGAACGAAGAACCAATTGTTGTTCACGACGGTGTGTAAACCAATGAGATTTTTACCCAGTATGGAGCATAATCACTGGAGCATATTTTATTCTTTATTTTATTTTTTGTCTTCTTTCGAGAAAAAGAATGTTCAACCAAAACTCTTTTAGGAAATCAAAAAATCCACACTACCTTCTTCGAAATCAATAAACTGTTGGGCGAAGGATGTGTGATGATGAACGCATGTAGGGAGGTGGTGGCGTCGACGGCAGGTCTGCTCTAAAGATGAATTGGTGGACCACTGTTGCGACGGCCTCTGCAGCGCGCGTATACGGTGCACACTGAAAATACGCTGGACCAGTGTGTGACCCAGACCCAGCAGTTCGGCTTGGTTGAGGTCTCCCACTTTAGATGTTGGGCTTTGGTGTAAGGTGTGAGTATGCAGCCCCGATAATATGCACTCCTTCATCAAGTGGATAGGAGTAACAACGGATGTTGCCAATGGTGGCTTCAAACTTATTAATGTATTACTTTGTAAATTGTAGGTGAATAATTACTCCTTTTCGGAAAGAAACAAAAAATCCAAATGCGAAGTAGATGTACGTACACGTCAGTCAAGAGAACGTCTAAGAAAGCCTGGCGAGAACCATGGCGTAGAGGAGCTCGTTCCACGCGTCGGGCACACCCGGCAGGCACCAGTGGCTGCAGTCCTCCCTCTGCCCCACCGGCATCCTCGCCGACGGCTCCACATTGTACACCGCCGGGTGGCCGTCCCTGCTGTGCGCCGTCATCTGCGTCACGTTCATCACACGCAGACGCAGGTCCCTGACGACGGCCGATTCCGGTCCCCCAAACGCCGGCTGCAGCATTCCCGGCCACCGGCCCAGCGAGATTCGCGTCATGTTCAGCTCCGGCAGCGTCTCCTTGCCGCAGCTCCCGCCATTTGTGCCCCTGCAAAGCAACAAGCAAATTGCTACTTATCTGTGCAAATCATGGCTGAAATTCACAAGACCAGCAGAGGAGACGTGCCTATTGTGCGCCGGCGAGTAGGTTCTGAACACGGCCAGGGTCTTGCCGGCGTCCACCTCCTTCTGGACCCATTCGTGCACTGTGTCCATGGCCCTCTGGTAGGCCGCCTCCACGCTCATGTCCAGCCTCAGCCTCTTGCCTTCCTGGAAGTAGCAATGCCTGGCACAGCAAGGTCAAGCCATGGAACCCGAGCAAACATTTCAAGTTATATCCATAAAATTAAACATGCATACAGCTGCTGGAGCCGGTCGTGGTTCCACCAGTGGCCGGAGTTGAAGACGAGCACGTCGGCGCCCTTCCACAGGTGCGCCCTGGAGTCCATGGCGCGGAGCTGGAGCGTGGAGCGGACGTGCCTGGGCGCGCGGCGGGGGCGGCCGCCGCGCCGGACCAGGTACGGCGACCGGTAGTGCTCCACCGTGAGGTTGTGGCGGAGGAACCGGAAGGAGAGGAAGCCCTTGTGCTTGGTGATGGGGCTCCCGTGCTCCTCGCGCACCGAGGCCCCGGCGTCGGCGACGGCCGAGGAGAGCATGCAGAGCATCGACTCCCACTGGTTGCGCCCGATGGAGTCGCCGACGAACACCAGCCGGCGGTTCCGGAGCACCTCCAGCAGCTTCTCGGCGTCGAACCTGCAAGTGATCGACGAGCAATGTGTGTTAATTAACAGATCAAACAGAGTGCAGTTCCGTCCATGACACCATGCATGCCGCCATGGTGCAGACCTCGGGAGCTCGCAGTGCCTCGGCCGCCACCTCCACCGGGCGTACCCGTCGTCCGGCCGGCCGTTCTCCCGGCACCGGAACCCCACGTCGACGAACGGGCACTCCCTCGAGTCGTAGAGAGGGGCCACGCCCGCTTCCTCGCGCACCCACTCGCCGTCGGTTAGCATGCCGTCGTGATCAGCGTCGCCGCAGTGCCCGCGGCCGTTGTCGACGGCAGCGTCTCCGTCCGTCGTCACGACGACAGCGCCGGTGCTCGCCCGCACGACCACGCTGACCTCTCCGGCGGAGAGCCTGGCGGCCCCGAAGCCCGAGGAGAGGGTGGCGGCGAGGAGCAGCGAGGCGGCGGAGAGGAGGACGCAGGCGCTCCAGAGCACGGCGTGGTCGCCGCGCCCGCCTCCTCGCGCTCGCCATCTCCATGACCATGGCGCGCTCTCCTCCCCGCTGCCGCTCGAGACTTGGCCGTGTCTGCGTGGCATGTCACGTAGTAGTGGCACGTAGTGTAGAGGATCGATCGCTTGGGTTTGATCGCTTGCTGGCGTGGAAAATCTGCTCTTGTTGTTTCTTGTGTTTTGAGAACGGTTGCTTTCCCTGAAACAAAGCGAGGAAGGAAGAGAGAACGGCTGCTTTGTTGTTCGGTTGCTCCTGGATTCAGTGGAGGAACCGACGCTGGTAGTGGAGGAAACTTGGCGGAGTGCGTTCCGGTTGCGGAGAGCCCGAAGAAGCGATGGCGGGGTGCCGTTGGAAGTATTTGCGCCGTTGCGTGTATATATACCTCGGGTTTGTGTGTCACTGCCATTCGCGTGCACATGTCAGTCAGAATAGATGAGATATACTCGTACTACGGAGTACATACCAGCCACGCCGGCAGCTAGCTCCCCTGCCCGGTCCTCACACCACGCCTTCGCCCGCGTGCGTGACGATATCGATCGCCAGGAGTCTGGCCGCTCTCATCGGCCGGCCACCCTGCACCAGGCAGAGAGCTGGTGTGGCCGCAAAGCCGTGCACATGCTCAAGCCGTGTCTTTGGCTTCCTGATTGAAAAACTATTTTCGACTGCCAAAGTGCCAAACTGCCAATCATCATGTTTCGTCGTGTTATAGTAGCCTCGTCTCGTGTTTAAGCATGAACAAGTTGGTCCAAAATCACTCAGGTTAGTCTCGCTAGTCTCCACTTCCTCACCCAACCCTGCTATCACTGTCCCTCTACATCCATTCGCACCACAATGTTCGCACCTGTATGAGCTAAATACCTCATCGGGAGTAGGAGCGAGTACAACACTTTTTGGCTACTCCCTCCATTTGACGTTTTAGACAGCTGATTTTAAACTGTTTTGCAAGCTGTCTGAACTATCTAAAACATCTTATAAAAGTGAACAGAGGGAGTATTGATGATAATCAAGCTCTGGAGCTTGAACCCGTCAATATAAGAAAGTACAGCTACAATTGTGACGGCATCAACAATAAGAGTCGCAGCACGTGGATTAAAACAAAAAGGAAACAATGTATACTGTAGTATCACCTATCAGTCAATCTCCCTCTCTTTTTCCCCCTTCCTTTTTAACCTTTTAACACCCATGTCTTCCTTAAACCAGAACTAATATAAGGAGTACAACGCTACAGATCCCACAGAATGTACATGTAAAGTTGTAAGCAACAGGTTTTACTTCTCGTGATCTTCGTTCGAGGTGTCAATCCTGATTACAAGAGGTTGATGCAGATCCGAGGGAGAGGCCGCCACCGGAAGCTGCGGGGCTCCTAGATCCGCCTCCCCATTCTCTGCCAGCGCCTTGTCCAGAGCAGATTTTGCGACTCTTGTGACGCATATAATCAAGAGAACTGCAGCATGGCACGAGGAAAATTGTCAGCATACACTTGCAATTACTAGTGTTGTGAAGTATGGCACACAGTAAAAGCATGTCAATTTTCATGGCATCAAGATTGAGCACAACAAAATGAAAATCCCATCTAACTCAGAAGACAATTTAAAATGTAAGCAGCAGTAGAGTGGCCACAAAGAATAACGGAGGAACTGGCACTTACTGGACATTGCAAAGCCAGAAATTATGAGAACCTGTGAAGAACAAAGAAGTCGTTAAAAGCTGTGTATAACAGTGGCGCCTACTTTTAAAAAAGATCGAACAACTTGAAGTGCATCAACTGTAGACGACTGCTTTTTAGTGCTACCAGGAAATACCAAGCACATTTTCCTAGCATACATATACCAATATGTCACTACAACATACTCCCTCCGTACCTAAATATAAGTCTTTTTAGAGACTCCACTATGGAAACTACATTTGGATGTATATAGACGCCTTTTAGAGTATAAGTTCACTCATTTTGCTCCGTATGTAGTCTATAGTGGAATCCCTTAAAAGACTTATATTTAGGAATGGAGGGAGTACTTGTTGAAAAAAAAAGGGCAACCTGGTGCATGTAGCTCCCACTTTGGGTCTATAGTACGCAGCCTTTCCCTACATTTCTGTAAGAGGCTGTTTCCAGGACTTGAACCCATGACCTCATGGTCACAAGGCAGCAGCTTTACCACTGCGCCAAGGCTCCCCTTCCGCAGGGTCCAGGGAGGGAGTACTTGTTGATTGTGATAAAATTTGCATCGTTGAAAATAACTCCGGAACTTGATAGATCATGCTCATGCATGCAACTTAAGTTTTTGCAAAAGCCTGACCAAATATCAAAAGAAGCCAAATGCAAACGAAGTGTATACTACAAAATTGCTATGAATAAATTTCACTGATCTAAATTCTGCACAATAAACATCACATGGCTCATGGCCAAGCATGAATGATCGAAAAGCAACCTGGAAGAAACCCAAGCCATACAACAGAGGAAACGTCAACAATAATTATGGACTCTGTTTTCTATGACAAACATGATACCTACTTCAAAAAATAATACAGGAAAATGCTACAATACTCAATTGCTCACCCATCTGGTAGTGGAGATCTCACTCCATCCATGTGTCACATCTGATAGATCTTTTAGTGTTGTTCCCACATATACCAAGGCGAGAGTGATTGGCTGGCAAAAGAATAAATATGATTAGCAACAAAGGTCACAAACACCTGATAGTTTAAGATCAGCACTTTTAGTTAAAGGTAACAAAACATGCAAGTTAGTAGATGTTAGTATCATGTTACATGTGACCATGTTTTGTGCGGAGATATAGTAATATGCTGAATTGCTGATTAAGAAACTGTGGAATCGAACACGACTTTCTGAAAATAATTATGTCTACTCATACAACAGTGCACGAAGCAGAAAATTACACAAAGCCTGATGGTGAATGCATGGTTACAAGACAAGGTTGCTGATGGTAACAATGTGAGGTTTCATTAGGTCAACTGGCCAACCAGTCTGTGCCGGCACCCCAGCCCACAGTATTACAAGACTAAAAACATGACTAAAATTAGACAACGAAGAGAAAAACTTGAAGCATACCATCATTCCCAGCCAAGAAGCCAGCATGTATTCCACAATGCCAACAGGAGTGACAGACAACAGGTAGTTCAACATGTTAAATGGAAGTAGAGGTACAAGCCGTAGTAGCAACACGATCTGTGAACAAAAATATGAAAAGTGTAACATAATTAGGTTTATTGTGATATGCAGGAGAATTCCAATAACATATATTGAAACACGACAAGTTACAACGTAAAACAGTCACCAAAATAGCAAAATTGTAGGGTAAGAACCAGAACAAAAAAAACACATATATTGATACATGTACAAGTTAAAACTTAAAAAAAAGTCCTTGGGCATTCGTATATTGTGGGGTAAGAACCAGCACCGAAAAACCACAAAATCACATAAATTACTCCAACAAAATCATAAAATGAGACAATATGCTTTCCTTGATAATTATATGTCGGAAATCTCAGGTTTCTAGTATCACCTTTGGACATTATTCATAGCAATAGTCTTAAATTTTAAAAATTTAACAATCATGTGGAACTGAAACATTTGCAGAATATTTGGAAGTTATTGTGTTTTTCACATCACACAGCTATAACATCTAATCCGAAAGAAGTTACCTTGAAGCCAGACCTTTGGATGGCTATAGCTACTGCTTGAAACTTGGGGTAATCTTTGCATTTGGAGAGAACATACGGCCTTCCAATCTGCAAGTCATATAGAACTATAAGATATAAAACATTAAATAATGCAAAGATGCCATTAAAGATGAAACTAAGAGGCAGAAATTAAAGTTTCCGCAGACCAGGGTAGCATACCTATACGTATTGAGCTAGCCATGTGTATTTTATCATATTATCTTCTTATCCAATTACAGTTGATAAAGAAAAGGAAAATGCAACATACTATAATTTAGGTTCAACAATATATGAGAGAACATCGTCAGGAAGACAGAATTGCAGTTAATTGGCAACTGGTTCTTGAGCAGTGCATTTGTTATCTGTGACAACATGCAATTTGCGTTTAAATTATAAGAGTATTATCGTTCATTCTTACCGTTCTACCAAGCAAAAATGCAGCAGTTGCACCAATTGTTGCTCCAATAGAATCAGCAACAAACCCAACGGGCAGGCCAAATAGATAACCACCTCCAAGCTAAACAAGAAGAGAATGCACACCAATCAACCAATTAATAGTGTCAAATAAAGAGGAGAGCCTACCAAACGAAAGTTCCATCAGAAGTGACTGCTAACAGAAAATCCGATTCACGCTTACTGTGAGTATTGAGGCTGGAACAGCTAAGACCGTCAAAGGGATGTAAGCAAGGGCCCTGCAATGTACAACACAGCAATTATGAACAATATATCTCAACATATTCTTTCAAATATGAAACAGAAATTTTGATCTTGAGCAACAGCTGTGTAAACCACCCTCCTTGTTTGTGCGTAAGTGTGGTGTGCGGTGTATGCCTCAAGTTCTTTCAAGGTTGTGCTGGAAAATTGGTCCACTCAAAGGATGCTAGGAAGGTAGCCACGAGTGAGTGTGAAAAATGGAATACCTAAGTAGTGAGCGTGGTAGGGAGGAGTGGAGGACATTGTATTCAGTTGAATTCACCATGCCAATACAATTATGTAACAGAGGGGAGAGATTACTTACAATACCAAAGGACCCCATGCACCCAGGTTCTCTTTGATCCAAAGAAGAAAATCCTTCAAAATCTGTTAATGTCATACCGAGACTCATCATGAATAAAATGAGAAAATTAAGCATTTGAAGCAAAACATGTATGTTGTGTTAAGGAAAAACATTAAACTGTGGCATCTAGTAGAAAGATAAACAAAGAATGAAAGAATAAGAAAAATTCTTAGAACTGTAGTCCTAGGGTAATAATATGTAAAGATCCATGGACTAACAAATATTGGAGGATATGGGATTATGGTCGAAATAAGACGCAATAAAAAAATGCTAACAGAGAAATTTTAGACACAGATTAGATTTAGTTTCAATAATTCTAGAGAAAGTGAAATCTGAAGCCTAGCACTGATACTTAATTGACAGAGATCTCAAACAATAGACGGTTTGTTCCATAAACAAAGGCTAACATTATCAAATGGAAGTACGAAAGCCAACAGGACCATTAACCTGCATACTTTTCCTCTCAAATTACCAATCTAACTCCATATCAATATTATCAACCAACATGCCATCATATCTGATAATATGAAGACTAAGCAAACGGTTCTTTGAAAGGACAAATGTGATAGTATGAGAAAGTTCTGCCGTATTAAGTGGCCTATTAGAACTAGCATTAGAAGAATTAACTAATTAAAACATGGGGAAAAGGTATCTAAGGAAATGGTTTCGCATTGGAAATTATAATCCTGACTCTGCTTTGAAATTACGCTATGAATTCCACTATGGAAAAGGAGAACATTAAAGACTGCTATAGAAGTGTATAAACATATCAAACTACATTCTATATTGCTATTGTTTGGAGAAGGATCCACTCGAATAGATTATAACCAATGGATACCAGTCTCCTTGTGAAAGGAACCCTTACAGCCCTAACATTTGCATGTAATTACCAATTCCGTCGTACAATACTTACTAGATGGGTGAACAGACAGTAACGGGTACAGATTTTTTTAGAGCCTTGATAGAACACATGTTACATCGTCAAATGCTTTGCAAAATAGTATTTACATAGATGAGATAATTTCTGCCTACAAATTATTCCACTGATTAGGTCACACTATCGTTCTATACTGGAATGCAATGAACATTCTACTCTATACAAGCCCACATTTCTAACGATCTGAACTTTTGAATGCGTGCCAGCAGCCACTGACTCCATTTGCTAGGAAACTTTCAGCCATACAACACAATGCCATACCAAAAGTTCTATTTCCGCAAAACCACCATGACGGAACTAAGGGTAATCGATGGGTGGAATACATCTAATCAGGAGCCAGGACAGAGCTACATTTCGGCAACCCAGAGGACTTCTCCCGCGCCCCACTACAGCACGCATGTCGTAAGCGTATAGGTCACAGAGCAGACGCCCTAACGTCATCACATCTATTATAGCATCGGCAGCAGGGCCCGAATCAGGCCGGCGACGGGGAGGGGAGGATGAGGCGCGCACCTTCTCGACGGGGAGCGTGAAGAGCGCGACGCCGGCGGCCGTGAGCAGGGCGGCGCCGACGGCGAGGCGGAGGGCCGAGGGCCACGAGAACGCCATGGACGCGAGCAGCCTCCGCCGCCAGGGCCTGAGCCTGCAGTCCTCCCCCTCGCCGCCCTCGTCCGCGCCGTCCGCCCAGCCCCCCGCCCGCCCCCGCGCCCGCAGCCCCACCGCCGCTCCTGCCAGATTCCCCAGATCTGCCTCCCGCCCCGCCTCGGCCGCACCCCCGCCTCCCGCGCTGCCTCGCCTCGCCCTCGCCTCCGCTCGTCCCGCCGCGTCAACTCATCCGACACCTGGTGCGCTGCGCTCGCTCGCGGGGGGTGGAGGGAGGGGATGCG